GAGACCGGAGGGTTGACGAGCGGTGGAGAATCTGCCTCGTGGGACTCAATGAATTGGACATGGTATGAGTCAACAACCTTGTGTAGTTGCCGATGATAGAGCCTGTAAGTCTTTGAGTGCGTCCCATAGCCGATCAGCACACACTCCACCGAACGCTCGTATATCTTGGGGTTATGGCGGTTTTGGATGAGCACGAAAGCACGGCAACCAATCTCGCGAAGATGCGAGAGGTCCGGCTTCTTGCCATACCACGCCTCATAGGGAGTCATCCCCCCCAAAGACCGAGAAGCAGAGCGCACCGACAGATAGTTTGCCGTGACCTGGAACTCGTCCCAACGGTTGGCGGGTACGTTCGCAGCCAGACGCATAGCCCGCGCACGATCCATGATGGTTCGATGAAGGCGTTCCACCCGGCCGTTCTGAGCGGATGTATGCGGCGCAGTAGTGCGCCATCGCGTGCCCCGACTCTCGAGGAAGGCCATGCACTCGCGGGATAGGAGCTCGCCGTTGTCGATCTGGATGAAGCCGACTTTGCGACCAGTCTCGCGTTCTCGGGCAAGAACCCAAGCTTTGAATTGAGGGAACACCGCCTTCGATGGGGTAGGGATCACCCATGAATGAGAAGACTTATCATCCATTATTTTCAACGAGTACAGGTTGCCCGACGCCGACACAACGTCAGCCGGCCCCGCCAAATCTACGAACACGATATCCAGGATTTTCTCTGCCTTTTCCCCCACCCGCACCTTAGGAACCGCGCTTCTCGTCTGCTTGCCGAGAATGCAGTGTTCACATTTTGATGGTGCGAGGGAGAGGGAGATGGGCATACCTTGGACGGCGTTGGAACGCGCCATGTCATAGATCGTGCGATGGTTGACATGGCCTAGACGGCGATGCCAGGTGTCGATCGTAGGCTGACGACCCGCAAAGAAGGCATGCTCAGTTGAAGGTGACGCGCCATCGAGGGAGTAGAGACGACGCGCAGTGAGCGTGCCAGAAGCGACTAGGGCCCCGCCCGGCTTGGTGATGCGGACCGAGTTGCCATCGAAGAGCACCTTGTAGCGCGACGAGGAGCGGCACAGAGCCGAGATACTTATGAGACGAACGGCAGCCTGAGGGACGTAGAGAACGTCGTCGAGTACCAGAGACGCGCCGCGTCCAAGATGCAGACGCACTTTGCCGACGCCATAGGCATAGATGACGGAGCCGTTAACGCCCCGAATCCCACGCGCAGCGATCGGGCGGAGGTCATGGAAGTCGTCTTTCCGGGGCGAGAGATGAGTGGAGGCCCCAGAGTCGAATACGAAAGGCTCCGAGCCTGCGGCAGGGAGACGACGAGCGGAGACGGGCACCGGAGCTACAGAGTATGCCAGTGGGTCGAGAGACTCGCGAGTGTTCGTGCCCCAGTTGAGCGAAACAGTGTCGACGTCAGTGACAGAAACCAGAGCGGTGTACTCAGCAGCGTCGGCCGGAGACGTCACAGAAGCGAGCCACTCAGGGGTAGCATCCGTCGCCAAGCCAGCGAAGTCAGAAGTAGACGCAGTGGGGGAGGCAACACCAGAGTTGTCGGTCGTCGTAGTGAGGAAGTAGGCGTGACCGGTCTCTGGGTCAACGACACGAATCTGACGACCCTGCGCCGGAGGATCAGACGCGACAGCGGCCGTCTCCCTACCCTTGCGAGCCTTCTTCTTGTTGGCAAGGATCTCCTCGCGGCGGCCTTCCATCCCTCCACCAGGCGCCCAGCATTCGGCCGTGGTATGACCGCTCGGGCGTGGGCAGCGGGAGTTGGTGCACGTCTTCGAAGACCGACCCGCCTTAGCGGCGACAAGCACGTCGACATTAGACGCCTTGCCACCACGGTTATCGACCAACTGCTGCTCCATGTCGAGACGATGGATGATGTTGACGGAGGTGTACGAAGTGCCCGAGGTTGCCGAGGCCGAGAGCGAAGAGCCGACCTGAGACTGCAGGTTCTGCAGTTCGCCATCCATCGCATTCATCATGATTATAGTTTGCAGGACGTCCAAGGTTGGTATGCCGATGTTGAAAACGCGTTCGCATCCTTCCTGGATCCGCATGGAGGTCACGGAGTAGCGCTCGACTGCGCTCGAGTATCGAATGGCAAAGAGTTCGTGGAAGAGACGCGCCTGGGCATATGCGCCCGGGTCCTTCTCGTGACGACCGCAGAGGGCAACCCACAGCTCGCGTGCGCGAGTGTACTTGGCCATGAAGCTTTGCTCTTCCTTCGCAGCCTTCGTTCCCAAAAAGGCGATGACGATCTGCTCGTTCATCTGGAAATTTTCGAGGGACGTGGGGTCAACTTCGCCATCGGGCTCCACGACGGTGCCGGCGAGGTAGGGCCACATCCGGCACATAGTGAGATGTTGGCGCACGTACGTCTTCCATTCGAACCAATTGCTCAGGGCGCGGTCGAGTATGATGCCTCCACTGTACAACGAGGACGGGAGGTTGATCGGCTCAACCTTCTTCGACGTCGCCGAGGACATGGTCACCGCCGGAGATAACGTTTTGGACTCAGGAGCAGTGTCGAAGCGAAGAGATCGCGGCGTCGCCTTGGGCGCCTTCGGGCTGGAAGTCGGGGATCCGGTCATCGTCCCGGGAGGGTGACTATATGCGGGTGAATGTGCTCTTGTGTGGGCACAGTGATGTTGTACCAGAGTCTGAAAGGCCAACGAGAGCTTCGGGTATGCGAGCGGGTTCAAAAACACCGCCCGGGGCTCATAACCTGTAGAAGCTGTACAGTGGTCAGACACTCAGTCGTGGTAGTATATCGACTCGTATTAGGTTACCTGTACAGTGGTCAGACACTATACAGGCATTAGTGACTATCATACTCGTATCGTAGATGACGGCTTACCTCAGTCGTGGTAGTATATCGACTGAGGAAAGAGAGAGGGGAAAGGGAGAGAACGCGAACCACCCCCGGCGGTACGTCACGTGCCCGGTGGCTGGAGATCGAGATCGCGACGCGACTTCAACATCGAGAGGGTGGTCTCGACAAACTGTCACGGGCAAGGTCGAGCGTCAGGCGTCGGCGGGGACCTCGGACGAGTAGCCAGAGAATGGGTGCGATAGAATAGAATGGTCGTAGGGTATGCGATGTAAAGTAGACCGAGACGGGCGTTGTCGAGACGAAGAGACGACGCGCGAGCGCGTCGCTTGATAACGTCGGCCAGCGAGGCACAAGGAGAAAGGGGCAAGCCCCGAAATGGTAAGTAATGAAGGCACAGGTGCGTCAAAACCTGCCAAACGGCGAGGAAAGCTACCGGCCCGACTACGCTACGCACGGACCAAGGCACGCGTCGTACTCTCGACGGCCTTGACCATCACGTTAATGGCGTAGAGATTGAGGAATTGAGGGGAGCAGGCGGGACAGAGAGGTCATCGGGCAACCATACCGGCAGCATCCGCAGGGCGGGGCTGCGATGATCGTCAGCGAGTAGCGAATGCAAGATCATTCAGGTCTGACAAGCACTAAACATGCCAGTATACACTCTCCTCTACTCCCTCATTCTGATGTACACGTCGTCCCTGGGGACATGCAGTCTCCATCATTTGTTACAACGAGAGCGAGATCATGTTGGGTAGGAACCGCCCGCAAGGCCGTGGACGCTCTTGGAAACCGCAGGAATGACCAGACAGTACTCCTGGACGCGAGTATGGTCCGACATACCGCTGGTACATTCCTTCGTCACGGCCCTGCGTCTAGACCACTGACACTGATCGCGCGCGTGTCAGTGTTGGGTTTTACGGCTTCGCGGGATCCGTCGAGGCGGTGGAGCAGGCCAGAGCGGACGGAGAGGACGAGGCTGGCGAGATACATACACGCACAATACGGAGTTTGGACCGCGGGTCGATCATCGTAGATCGACGGAAGGATCGAGACTTGGACCGCTCGCCTTTCCAAGAGGGCGAGACGATACGGCGGGTGTAGACGGCAAGGCCAAATGAGAGTCGTGTGCTCCATGCTTTGGGGACACAGTGTACAGAGATCGACAATGATAATTCGAGGGACGTACGCGTTCGGAAGACATGCGCCCGTGGTGTGCCCGCAAGTCCACGACGTGAGTGATACAGCGTACACCGACGGTTACGCGCGGTGAAACAGCCCTGCTGTGGCGCCGCATCTGTGGAGATACGAGCGTAAGTGTATGGAAGATGCACAGGGACGTACGCGGGGATGGCGATGCGCCCACGAGTGGAGACTGGCGCACCGTACCTTCTGTGGCGCCGTCGGTGTGGGAGAAGGGCCTGAGGTGCGTGCGGGATGTGACTGAGAGGTGGGCAGGCGGGGGCCCAGAGAGATGGCCGTCTCGAAGCCTAAAAGCGAGGACGGCGTGCGTGAACGAGGCCGGGTCGGCCGGGTCGTCCAGTCAACCAGGCGGAGTCTGCAGGGGTGCGGACGACGGAGGTGGTGTTGGGGAGGTGCAGGCAGCGTCGAAGGGGAGCCGTGTCGTAAGCGGGGCAGGGCAGCTTCTCAGGCGGATACACGGACACGCTGGGGACAGCGAGCCAGAGCGTGCGGCGGTCGCGCAGGCAAGGACTCGCCGAGGACAGCGAGGGCGACGTTGGGAGAGCACATGACTGGGAGGGAGGAGGGCGTCAAGAAAAGCGAGCGTGGTCACTGCCTTGGCTGTCATCTTGGTGGTTGTTCTCGCCGTCCTTGTCGTTGCCGCCGTCGCGCGCTGCCCCGCCATTCCTTTCGTCACCCAGTTGGCCAGCCTGCGAGCCAGAGCGTGGCCAGCGACCAAGCCGCCGAGCGAGCTTGTCACCGCAACGCAGTCGCAGTTGCACCGCAGGGAGGAGCGTGGCGGTGAGTGTGCTGCCTGTTTGGGAGTAGCGCGCATGTTCATCCGCGTGCCCTCGCGACCTTTTTCTCTCCCGTCTCCTGCCTTCACGACCTCGTCCACGACCGCCTCGTCCCCGCCGTCTGCGCGCACAGCGATACCCTGTCTGTCGTCCACAGTCAGCGCAGCACCATGTCCCAGTTCGGCGACTTTGCGCCTCTCTGCCATACCGTCCCCTCCTATCCCTGGTGCAATCTCTTCTACCGCCAGGTCCGTATCTCCCTCCGCCGCGCCCGCACCTGCCCTTACCGCCATTTTCACGCAGATTGTACACGCAAACGCGTCGCTCCTCGCAAACGCATCCGCCAACGCGACAGAGGCCCCCGTCGGTGTCAACCCCCAGTGCGGTATCCTCCGCGTCGGCGCCGACGGTTCCATCGGCAACGTCGCCAACATCGTCGTCTGCGCAGTCAGCATCCTCTTCACCCTCTTCTTGATCGTATGGACGAGTAGGAGAAGGGCCGCTGTCGGTGAGTCTCTCTCTTTTCTACCCTGTGGGTCCCTGTGCTTTTCTGTGGTCGCCCCGTCTTCGCCGCTCGATGACGCCCTCCCCGCGCTGCTTCCCGAGCCAGTGCTATTCTCGGCCGCGCACATCCTCCGGCCATCTAACCTGCCTTCCGTCCCTCCGTACGCCTCGCGTGGACGCCCCAAAACACGACGCCGACCGGTCTTTCGTCCCTCCCACGCTACTCTGCGCCGTCTCGACCTTCTCCTTATCGTTCTCGTGCACACGACGGAGCCTCTTACACTTCCCAGTTCTGTTTCACTATCTGGGTCTGTCTCGCGAAGCCGTCCCTCTCCAAGCGATGGCCGACACTCCTCCGTATGCTCGTCTTACTCTCCATTTCCCGCCGGAATGCCTCGTCTTGGCACCACCCACTCCCCGGTATCGCGACTTGCGCCCTCCGGCGACGCCCTATGCCTCGGCACTGCGCGGATCACGAGACCACGGCCTTCGCTCTCTGCCGGCGTTCGCGGACGCCTTGGCATTCCTGGAAGCGCGTCCCGCTGAGGGCCCCCCAATCGCCGGTTTATCGCCTCGTTTTCGCTTCTTATTGCGAATCACGCGTTCGTCCGCTCAATGGCGATCTCGCGGGCTCTACAGCCGTCTCACACTCCGTCAGGGTCATCTCGATCCTCTCCGGACACCCCACTGCTCGAGCGGTGTACGCTCAAAGTCCTGTGTTACTCTCGGGCTCTGGTGCATGCATGAGGGCTCACGAAGCCCACCGATCGATTACTGCTCATCAGGAAGCTACAGACGTTGCAGGGCATCACCTCTCAGTTCCAACTCGATCGCGGCATCTGTTCCATACACCGCGTTCCACTGTTCTCGGGACATGCACACACGGACGCATACATCACCACCACCACCACCACCACCAGCTCCGCCATCGAGGACCCTGACTGTACGCGTGTGGGCGACCGTTTTGTGGCCGCTACCAACACCGACACTCGTCTCCCACCCGAGGAAGCCCCACACGCGCGTGTCGACTAGACACGTCCGGCCGCTTTCCTGGCTCTTGGTCCTCTCCCGCGAGCCTCTGGCACGTCTCACGATCTGGCCGGGCTCTGTCGACGTTCGCGGGTCGTGTGAGGAGACGCGCGCTATCCCGATCGCCCCCTCATTGAACAGGTGGCTGTGCTAGGGGGCAATCATACGCGGCCGCTGCTCTCGCTTCCGCCTGGGCGTCGACGGACGAACATGACGCAGGGGTTCCGTTCGATTGACGGTGATCGACGTGCGGGCCCGGGGAGCCGCCCTCGATCGCGAGCTGACGGGACGCGCCCGACGGCGTAGCGCGTCCAATCCAATTCTCGATGGCTGTGCTCGAGCGCAGGCCTCTATCGCCGTAACCGTGTTCCCGGCCGTCCTTTCGTTTCGCGTTCTTCGATTCGTACTTCACTCTTGCTCTTGGCGTTGTACGACGAGCCCGCACTAACCCCATCGCGCATCTACAGGCCGCGCCGAGCTCCGCGAGTTCCTCGTGCTCTACTTGCTCACCCTGCCCTTCCAGCTCGTCACCACCGGCGCGTTCCTCGAGCAGGTGCGTTCCCCCGTCCCCAGGGCCGCTCAATCGCCGTGCTGACTGCGCTGCGCTGTGCCATGTCTGTTTTTTTGTTTGTCTACGCAGGGCTCTACAGCGCTCACGGCCGTGACGGCGATACACGCGGCCTCGTCGCGGCGACGTTCTGGGCGCTGCTCGGGACCGCGATCGTTAGCACGCAGGTGGTTGAGATGGGACGCTCAGTTCGCTGATCGTGAGTGCTATTTGCTTTGGTGCTTCTATTCCGTCCGGCGCCTTGTCGTGGTTGGTGTGGTCCGTTATGAGGTGAACAGGTTGTGTTGTCGTATGGTTGGCAGTGCTTGGGCCTGTGAGAGTGGAGTGACAGGACGGTAGAGTGTGCGGTTCTCCTCGTCTGGTGGGTTTAGCCCAAGGTATCTCACAGTGTTGTGCTCGGGCAATCACTTTCTGCCAGCTCGTTTGCTTGCGTCCAAACCGCCTCACGGGCTTGTTTGGGTCGTACATATCTCGTCTCGCGTTGCCTGACTAGCTGTTTAAGTACCATACTATGCTTCGGCTTCGTCTGGGCCCTTCAGCACCGATACTGACGCGCTTCACCGACAGCCGTTCAACTTCTTCATCCTCGCCTTCTTCGCGGTGACAACCTATATCGCACTCGACGTCGGCTTCTCGTTCACACACGTCTTCGGCCCGAGCAATCCTCTAAGCAGCGAAAGTAGCGTCCCGCTCTTTGTCTTGACTAGCATCTGGCCTGGCGCGTGAGTCCCGGCGTATCGCTTGTTATACAGATGTACTGAACGGTTCGACGCTAGCGCCGCGATCATTTACTTCTTGATCATGTTGTACGTCGTGCTGGGCATGCTGAACGAGGTCCGCCCGGTGTGGTACTTCGTGCTCGCCATGGTCATCTTTGTCCTCAGCCAACTAGACTTTTT